GCCTGGGCCGCGCGGGGCCCCGGCCGCGCACGTTCGTGGGGGTCCACGTGCGCCGCGGGGACTATCTGCAGGTCATGCCTGGGCGCTGGAGGGGGGTGGTGGGCGACCGGGCCTACTTGCAGCAGGCCACCGACTGGTTTCGGGCCCGGCACACGGCACCCATCTTTGTGGTCACCAGCAACGACATGGAGTGGTGCCGGGGGAACATGGACGCCTCCCGGGGGGACGTGGTGTTCGCTGGCAACGGGCAGGAGGGCTCTCCGGCCAGGGACTTCGCTCTGCTAGCCCAGTGCAACCACACCATTATGACAGTCGGGACCTTTGGCTTCTGGGCCGCCTACCTGGCGGGAGGGGACACGGTCTACTTATCCAACTTCACCCTGCCCGATTCCAAATTCCTGAAGATCTTCAAGCCGCAGGCTGCCTTCCTGCCCCAGTGGGTGGGCATCGACGCAGACCTGTCTCCACTCCAGTGACACTTCCACCGAGCAGCCTGGTGCTGTGAGGGGTTAACGGACTTTGAGAGAAGGAAAGGCCAATGCCGTAGTCCCTCCCAAGGATTTAAAAAAGTAGTCGGGAAAAAAAATTGATTCGAGAGCCATACACACATATATTTTTTTATAGGCAAATGAAATCACTGTGATCTGAATGCTAGCCTTGACTTCCCTGCCCCCTTCCCCCCACAATCTTACTTCAGGGCCGCATGTGGCTCAGAGCTGCACTTGGCTGGCCCTCTAGACTATAGAGCAGGGGTTCTCAACCTGTGGGACGTGACCTCTTTGGGAGGGTCGAACGACCCTTTCATAGGGGTCGCCTAATACATCCTGCCTATCAGATATTCACATGATGATTCAGAACAGTAGCAAACTGACAGTGATGAAGTAGCAACGAAAATAATCGTATGGTTGGGAGGGTCACCACCACTCTGGAGAATGCGGTGAAAGGATAGGCCTCACCCGCTTTCTCTCCGCCTCCATCCCACAGCTCCAGAGTGACTATTTAGCCCGCCTTTGAACCTGGCTTGCTGGAGCTGCCCGGACATGCTCCAGCTAGCAGGGCTTTCTCCTGCCCGGCAGTCTCTGGAGACATGCATGCCTGTTCTAGAAGCCACGGCCCCACCTTTGCCCTTTCCAGACCTGGTCCAACCTGCTTCTAGCAGACATCTCAGGAAGCCACAGATGCCTACTGGTGACCATCTGGGTGCTTTCTTAAAGGTGGTACTCCTAGGCAGACGGGTGGAGGCCCTGCCTCCTGGGTTATGCGGGAGTAAGCCGCTGTCAACGTGGTTCTCTAAGCTTGCGCCACTCTGGAGAGAGCCAAGTGTGATGTCCTTGAAGCACCCACCAGCCAGCTCTGCAGGAGGATGGGGCTGCCTGCTTCTGCGAAGATGAACAGCCTGGGGAAGCTTGGGGGAGGAGGGGGTTGTTCTACTCCGTCCCCCAGGCTTGCAGTGCGTCCGAATGGACTTGATGACTGTGAGTGTGTTTTTATTCGATTGTCTTTATTTTGGGTTTCGTGGGGTTTTGACTGTGGGTGTTTGGTTTTAGCTGGCCAGCATCTTGTGCCCCTTGGGAGCTCGGAAATGCGCTCGGTAGCTTGTGAGCAGGCGGGTCCTCTGACTGACCCCTCAGCTCTGGGGAAACCACAAAGGTGTGTATTTGTTTGGTTTTGAACAGACGGACTGGGGTGGGAAGTAGGTTGGCGGCGGGAAAATGATTGTTTACATGATACAGTTTCAAGAGGGGGCCTTTCAGGGGGCAATCTAGGGACACGGTTTGATTTAAAGCTCAAAATACAATCAGAGATGAAACGGCCCTGACCCAGCTCAGAGTCCAGTACATCTCCCACAATTAAGGAACGTTGCCTCTCTGTTGCTGGGCTGCTGGAGGTACTGGAGGCTTGTGTCGTATCATTCGTGGGTCATCAAGATGCCTTTGGGGCTTACAGAAAGGCACCAGGACTGGCTCCTGCCTACCACCATCTGCTGATGGGACTTCACTGAGCTGTCAAATCAAACTTTGGACAACTCTGAGATGTTGACCCAAAAGTATGCTGGCCCAGGGCCCAGGCCCGAACAGGACAGTGCCACAAGATCTGGCTGGTTAAGGAGGATGGGATTCTAGACTCCGCCTTCTAGTAGAGTGCCTTGGAGGATGCCAGGACAGGAAAACAACCACTCATTGCCAATGAGTCGATACCAACTGACAGTGATCTTATAAAACCCCAAATCCAAACTCCTTGTCACGGAGTCAATTCGGACTCCTCATTCAATGCCAACTCACAGTGACCCTACAGAATAGGGCAGAAGCGCCCCTGTGAGTTTCCAAGACTGTTACACTTTATGGGAGTGGAAAGCCTCCCAGCCTCTCCTGCCCAGCGGCTGGTGGCTTCGAACCTGGCGGATTGGAGCCCTGTGCACAAACCCACTACATCACCAGGACTCAGATCCTGACTCCTAGCATGCTTGTAAAATGGAGTTTTCCCAGACTAGAAATCTTTACAACAATAAAGCCTCATCTTTCCCCCTTGGAGCAGCTGGTGGGCTGAAACTGCTGACCTTTGCAGTTAGCAGCCCAATGTGTAACGCTCTATGCCACCAAGGCTCTTCATCAGTGACCCTACAGGACAGAGTCAGACTGCCGCATCTTTCTTCTACTTGAGGAGGTTTGTCTTGCTGAGCTATCCGTTAGCAGCGGAGTGCTGAACCACTGTTACGCTTGAGCTCCGGAAATGGTGCCCCGTTCACCCATTCAAGAAGCCAAGCCCTTTGTCCATTTTCTCAGGGAGTTCTGGGTGCTAAGAGGCATGAATTAAACGCCCAAATCACCATTTCCGGCTTTGCAGTTTTCTTTTATGTGCATGTGTGTCAGAGGGAGGAGGAAAGTGCTGCTTCTGTTACTGAACTTGTGTGACTTGCGAGTTGTCCCTGCTTTTCGGGTGGGCAGTTTCAATGATGCGGGAAGATAGAGAATCCTTTTGGGACCCAATGGTCCGAGCTCCCAGTTCGTGTCTCCAGGACACTCGGGACTGTATTCCAGATCCCGCTGCCCTCTGGGACCTTCGCCTCCAGCCCCACAAACTAGGGAAGGAAGGTAGCCCAGTGAGCTGAATATATTGCCTAGACTACATTTCCCATAAGGCTATGGGGTTGTATGCTGCGTCGGCTCTGGGAAAAGTGTTCCAGTGCCTTCTGGGTGTTGTAGTCCTACAGCTAGAAACCGGCACTCCGGACGTTGCAGTAGCATGGTCCCGGGAAGCAGGAGCAAACAAGGGCCTTCCCTTTGATCAATGATGGGAGAGTTCTTGCTTGAAAAGACAATCGCCTCTGTGAGGTCATGGTGAGATAGGTGGGACCCACCTTTGCTGTGGTCCAATCAGGTTCAGAGTTGAGCATATGGGCGGAGCCAAGAGAACCTCCAGGGACCAGCCTGGGAATTCGGGCACAGCCCACTATACACACAGGTTCACACACGTGGGAAACTAAACTGGTGACTGCGGGAGCCCGGTGACTTAGACCCCAGTCGCTGTCACGCAGCCAATCCTCACCCTGGGCCGGAAGCCCATCAGTTTAGTCGTGTGAAAATAATAGACAGTGGCCGGGGATTCTTCTCACAAGTTCCTAGAACCTGGGCTTGGCTCCTCAGCGGACCCTAGTGTGGGCGAATATAACGGGGTACAAGGTCAGGCTGCGGTTTTGTATTGGGGTTTTTCACTGATTAAGGAGAAAGGTGAGGCCTGCAAGTTGGGGGGATCCCTTAGTCCTGGAGAAAGGTGGACAGGGGCCCCCTGGGGTTCGACAGTCATTTCAAGCCTTGCTTCAGGGTGTAGGGTCCCTAGGTTTGGGGAGACTGGGGTGCCTCTGATTTGAGGGAGTCAGGGATTCTGTTAATATTCTGGTAGGTTCTAGTGGATGGTTTATTTGGTGTCGGCACCGAGTTTTCCGAGAGAGGTACAACAGGTTTTACCCACAGAGTCACGGCGGGACACAGTTAAGTGCTCTGACTGCTGACCACCCTCGAACCCACCCAGCCAGTTCTGCGGCAGAAAGACCCCGCGATCTGCTAATGCAATGACTATAGACAAGAACCCTCAATGGGGACAGTTCTCTGTCACAGGGGATCGGAGCCATAGCATCTAACATGCAGCACTGTGTCCATCGGGAGAAGGCTGGGGGGAGTTGAGGATGATACCCAATTTAGGGAGACCTGGGAGAGCCCAGGGTGTGCATGTTAGGAGGTGTGCATGATATGGGGTTCTGGTCTTTGCTTTGAGGGCTGGTCCCTTGGGAATCAATGAGGACCCTACATTTGAGGGGAGGAGGGGGGGGTGAGTGGGGCTATGGATCAATGATTCGATCATGTGCTCCACTTTGGAATTTAAAAAGGTATTGAACATCCTCCATTTTACAGTTTGGGGATCCTCTTGGATACGGGGCTCAGTGGGGACCTCCTAAAATGGGTTTTGCCTTCTTTCCCTTTAGCTTTTCTCTGCCAGGTTCGGGGTGAGAGGCCCCGCCCTGGGTGAGGGGGCGGTCTCCACGCATCTCGTGGTCAGCCACCATGAGAGCCCAACTTCCCCTCGTGATGGTGACGCTGGCCTGCGTCCTGCTTCCTGCTCGTGGCTGTGTCCTGTGTGACCCCTCCGTCGTGGACGGGCTGAAGAATTTGGTAGACTCTTACCTACCCCAACACTTGCCACCTAAGGATCAGGAAGATGTGATTAAAAGGCTAGAGAGCGCGGTCCGGGAATTCCAGGAACTCCCGATTGATGATCAAACCTATATGGGAGCCGTTGGTGAGGGCAGGATAGGGCACGGGTTCGGGAAGGAGGGGACTTCACACAGGATTGCTGCGTCCAAGGGAGGAAGGGGCTGAGAGACGGGTCTCCATAGGTGCCACAGAAGGGAAGGCTGGGGTGCAGACTCAGCGGCTCCCTAAACCCAAACCCAAAGCGTGGGAGTCAATTGTGACACATAACAATCTTTAGGGGGACAGAGAGCTTCCTCTTTCTCCAGCTGAGCGGCTGGTAGGTTTGAACTGAAGACCTTGTGGTTAGCAAACCGGTCAGGGCCACCAGGGATCCTGAAAGTTTCCCAAACTCACTGCCATCGAGTGAACTGACTCATAGCGGCCCTAAGGATCTCCAAGGGGTAGCCAATACTGTGTTCCCTTCCCCTTAACCCGCCACCACTTGTCTGTCAGTTTGTCTACTGTGGTGCGTTTTGTGTGGCTGTCATGCTAGGAATTATGTCACCCATGTTTCAAATGTCAGCGGGATCATCCAAAGTAAATAGGTTTCAGCAGAACTTCTAGACTAAGCACAGACTATGGTGAACGATTAGGCTGTCCACTTTTGAGGAATTAGTCACTGAAAACTTTATGGACAGAGCCAAAACATTGTCAGCTACAGAAAAATCCCTTATCCTGCAGAGTCCCGGCATAAAAACTACAACTCCCAGAAGGTACTGGGTAGGTGAATCCCTTTACCAGCCCTGCAGCCCTGTGGGTATTGCAGTTTCTAAGACTAGGCCCTCAAGGAGATGGCTTGACCCAGTGGCTGCAACCCTGGGCTCAGAGGTAAGATCAATGGTGAGGATAGCACAGGACCAGATGTTTTGTTCTGTGGTCCACCAGGTTGCCAGGAGTAACAACAATAAGGCTAGGCAAGTCAATGCGACAGAGATGCTGGAATGTAGGATCCTATCACCCTTCTCAAAGAGGTCTGCTGGCACAGCGATTAAGCGTTCAGCCGCTAACCATAAGGTTGACCGTTCAAACCCAGCACCTGCTTTCTGGGTGAATGACGTGGCGGTTGGCTACGGTAAGATTATAGCCCAGGAAACCCTATGATTCGGTTTAACACCTTCCCCTGGGCTTGCTGTAAATGGGAATCAGCTCCACACCATGTACCGACTTTGCTTTTTAACGGCTATCTCCGTCTACAGATGAGCCCACCCTGCACAAAGCAGCCTGGAGTTTTCTGTCGGATCTGGGACACCTCACAAGCAGTGGGGTAAAAGGTAGCTGGGGGAGGGGGAAGGTTGGGTCCTGGAATCGCCCAGGGAAGGGGTGGCTGGCAATGCCTCTTGTGTCGGTCTGATCCAGGGTGGCTGGAGGCAGGGAGCCACAGTGTGTAGGTTCAAACCCCAGCTCTACTACTTTCTAGCCATGTGACCTTGCTCAAGGAACTTGGCCTCTTCCCCTTCCCTACAAGGGACACCACAGTCTCGGTGCCACCTTCACTCCATGGCTGAGGATGAAATGAACGAATCACGTGTGTACTGTTTTGCACAAGGGACTTCAAAAAAGTTCCTGGAAAAATCTTATTATCCTTTGACACACATTGTCTCAAAAACCAAAAATCCTGGCTAGACCGGAGCATGCACACTGATACTGATAAGAGCTTCCGACACACGGAATTCAAGACAGATAAACCCCTCAGGGCCAATATGAGAGCAGCCATACCATGTGGTGGAGGGGTGGGGGAAGGGTGAGAAAGCAGAAACGGATCGCAATGATCCACTTAAAACACCCACCCGCTCCAAGGGGGGACGAACAAAAGAAATGTGGGTGAAGGGAAACAGTGGATGATGATGTAAACTTTGAAAATAAAAATAATTGATAGATAATCCAGGGTTCATGAGGATGGGAGGGGGAGGGGGAAGGAACTGATACCAAGGGCTCAAGCAGAAAGAACATGTTTTGGAAATGATGATGGCAACATGGATTGTTTTAAAGAGCTGTAAGAGCCCCCAATAAAATGACATTAAAAACGATAATTCCCAAACCAAACTCACAGAGCTGCCCCTGTGGGTTTTTCCGACACTGTAACTCTTTACGGATGGAAAAAGCCACGTCTTTCTTCCAAGGAGCGGCTGGTGGCTTCCAACTGCTAACCTTGTGCCTGACAGCCCAATGCCAAACTACTACGCCAACAGGCTCTTTAGATGGTGTCTAGCCAGCACCAAACTCCTAGGGCTTCCTGTGGCGGTTCGAACTGTCCCCCTAGGTTTTTAGAGGTTGCCATCTTGGGGCGGGGGGATGGTCCACTGGTCTTTGTCTGAACTACTCTGGGTGGGTGGGATCACCAGTCTCCTGGTCAACACCCAGCACTTAACCATTGAGCTCCCACGGCTCCCTGGCATTTTATTTCTTTCCCCTTCTCAGAAGGTCCTATTGGGAAGACAGGCCAACTTCCTGCATGTGGGGAGGTGGGGGTGGGAGAGGAGGGACCACTTTGCACCCTTTGGCTTCTTCCCAGGAGACGTCATGGTCAAGGAGCTTTTCTGGATGATACAACGGCAAAAGAAGCGCTTCGTGGACCACTCGGCCCAGTTCCTCAAAGAGTGTGAGAGATGATGGGGCCCTGCCACCTCCCTGGCTCAGACCCAGGAGTATGCCTCCCCCCAGGCCCTGACTTCCCCAAACTCAACCATCCAAGCCCCAAGCTCCTCCTCCTCCTCCGCTCCCATCTTCTTTAGCTTCAAAATCTGATTCGCTCTCCTTTTTTATCCTTCCTTCTCATTGCAGCTTATTGTCCTAATAAATGTGGTGAGTTCCGATTATAGATGGGTAGTTTCCCTGCCCCCATCCCCACACTCTCAACCACTCCCCCTCCGCTATTGGGGTCCCAGTGGTTTATTTGTCCCTTGGATCGTTTCCAGGATCTCTAGTACCTTCTCCCCTGTTTTCCAGGGGAGCGGGGTCACCTCTTGTCTTTTTTCCACGCTTTTGGCCACGTCCTCTGGCCTTCTCACGTCTTACCTTGCTAAGGTCTGACCCCGCCCCTCCGGAGCTGACATCCTGAGGATTGGAAGCGTGGCCCGGTCTCACCCCTAGGCCACACCCTATCCTTTAGCTCTGCACCTGGGAGGGCAATTTCTAGTCCAATCCCTGCGGGTTCAGGTTTGATGTTGCAGGCGCTGATCTGGTGCAAGGCCTGCGAGAAGCAGGTTCACGCTTGCCGGAAGTCCAGGGATTGTGGGGGTGAGTCCTGGGCCTAGGAGGAGGATCGGGAGTGGTGCCGGAGGGACCCAGGCCAGATGGAACGGGAAGCATTACCTCCAGGACCGACCAGCACAACCTACAGTTTCCCCTCCATCCCCAGAGCGCCATATCGAGGTCCGTGAGATGGAAGACATGATCCTCGACTGCGATCTGAATTGGCATCAGGCCTCGCAAGGCCTCACTTCTTACAGATTTTACAGGGTGGGGCTCTCACCTCCTGGAATCTTGGGGCTCCTAAGTCCAACTGTCGTGTGTGGACTCCCCCTCTGACCTGCCTTATGCCCATCTGCGTGATCTATTCTATGGGACCTCCCCGACCCCATGGCCTCGCTCAGCATCATCTCGCCCACCCAGCCACCACCTCCTGAAGTCCCATTCAGGAGACTTCATCCGATCCCCACCCCACCCCAACTCCGGAACCTCTCAGGCTCCTGACCCCGTGAGCTTGGGTTTAGGTTTGGGACAATGAGACTGAGGAACTTCTGACTGAGAGGGAACAGCCCATCCTGGCCAAGCCCATGGTGGGCCCAAAGGATGCAGGCAACTACCGCTGTGAACTGGGCACGGTCACCAACAGCCCGGCCACCATCATCTATTTCCATGTCAAAGGTCGGCTTCAGCGCCACGGGTGAGGGGGTCTATTTCCTGCCAGGGACTTTAGGCCATGGGACCTCACCTGGGCAAGACACTCCTCCGGGTGCGGCTGGATGATCTCCTTGCAGACGGACCTCGAGCCTGGGGGGTGTTACCTGTGGCAGAGGGGAGCGAGCCTGGGGGGTGTTACCTGTGGCAGAGGGGAGCGCCTCAGGTCCTCTCAGAACCTCCCCTCCCCCACCTCCCTTGTCAGTTTTGCCCAAAGAAACGCAAGAAGAAGAACCACAATTCATGCCCGCTCCGGAGAATGGGGTCCCGAGTACCCTCACGACAGCCCTCCAGGAGCCGACGACTCTGCAGGAGCCCCTGGATCCCGCCGCGATGCTAAAAATCGAACTCATCTGGCTGCTGCTCCCGGGCCTAGTGGTGGTGGTCTGCAGCACTGGGGCCCTGTGAGCAGCCACGTAAGGGGCGGTGCTTGGCATAAGGGGCGAGGTTTCCAGACACCTGTTCCAGGAGAGGCTCAGAGCCCCTGAGAACAGAGACTTTAATTGGAATGGGGCTTAGATGGATGGGGTGAGATTTAGCTTAGAAGTGGCTATAGGACGGGGCGGAGGGGGGCGCTTGGGAGGGAGAGGCGTCGGTATTGACTAGAATAATGTTATGTTGGGGCGGGGCGGGAGTGGGAGGGATGCTCCTAACCTGAGCCCACTATTTGCATTCGATCCCAGGATCTTTTTCTTTAGACCCCAGAAGGATCCTAAATCTTAAAAGCCCTCCCCGTTCTGTTTCGGCAAGGAGGGGGGTCGCAGCGCACACACCCCCCCGCCCTGCGCCAGGTTCCAGAAGAAAAAGCCACAGCTTCAAAGAAACAATAAAGATTTATCTTGTCCGCGTATCTGATTGACTCCTCCGCCCCGGGGGTGGGAGCTGGGAGGCCGGAGGAGTCAGGAGGGCAGGAGGCCCAAAGATGGGACCCCTGTCTGCAGAAGGAAGGGCTGGGGACTTGGACACCTGGATCCTGGAGGGGGTAGCAACTGTTGTCGACGAAGAAGGCCTTCCAGAATCCTTGGTGGGGCAGGGCCAGCTTTCCCCAGATCTCCTCCCCCAGGCCTGGCCCCCTCACAGGACGCCCCCTCCCCGCTCTTCCTGCTCCAGTTTCCTCTTGCCTTTTCCTGTCCCCCACCCAGTGCTGGGAGCTGGGGCAGAGGCAAAGGCCGGAGCGCAGCAGTGGATCGGTGGCAAACGCCCAGGCCACGGAGCTAGGGCTCCCGGGAGCTGCCCGGACCCCCAGCGAGGTAAGAGCCCAAGCCTGGGACCCAGGAGTCCAGCCCCCTCCTCCCTCCGAACCTGAGTCCGGTGCCTTAGCCCCCACCTCCCTCACCAGGACTCTGGGCCCTCGCCCCCTCCTCCCACTGAGCCCAGCCTGCTGCCCCATTCCCATGGCTCAAGCAGCTGGGCCAATACCCACCTTTAGGGTCATGCTATCGGGCGAGCGGAAAGAGGGCGGCAGCCCCCGCTTCGGCAAGCTCCATCTCCCAGTGGGGCTGTGGATCAACTCCCCACGGAAGCAGCTGGCCAAGCTGGGACGCCGCTGGCCCAGCGCGGCCTCTGTCAAGTGAGTTCCCACTGCCCCAGGGAAGACCAGGGACCCCTGAGGGCTGGGCTGTGGTTCCTGCCCTGTCTGGGCGGGCGAGGAGACAGAGCCGGCCACAGGCATCCAGGGGAGGGACAGTAGGAAGTGCTGGGACTGGAGATGGGGGCAGGTCCGTGGCCGCCTCTGGGTGGGGAGATGCGGGCAGCCTGGGCTTGATTCACCTTCCTTCCGCCCCTCCCGGTCTACCTCTTGGAATTTCCCGCTGTGGGTTCGCCTTTTATTTATTTGTTTTATTTTGTTATCTTTCTCTTATTGCCAATCTTCTCTGTCCACCCCCATCTCCAACCACCGGGGCCTCTGAATCCTCGGGGT